CTTAATTATCACAATAAAAAGAACATTAGCATCTCAGATTAGCATTTTTTCGACCATTCAGATCAGTCAGAAGCTAGCTACCAGCTGGTCTACTAGATAAAATGAGCAAGCAAGCTATAAAGCTAACCAACTTTAATCTAAACTATACAGTAATAAAATCTATCACTTTCAGTCGCACTGCTATGGGCAACAAACACAAATAAGAGCTGCCTCCTAAAAAAATCTGCTGGAGTATTTTTAAAAGTAATGATATAGTAATTTCTTGCTGGAAAAGTACAACATATGGTATATTTTTACCCCAGGACCTGGTATGTTGTCATTTGTTGTCCAACAAAATAAAGACTTTCCATGACATATTGTCCCAAAACCACAAGAATGGACAAGAAGGCATTATTATTCTGGAAGAGATCCTCCCCAACACGATAGAAACGTTTCATGGTCGTTAACAATAATGATTCAGAACAACCTTTATTGATCTCCAGTGACTCTGCAAGTGGCAACAGACCCAAACTACACAGAGATGTTTGCCTGCATCTCATATGTGGCTCGAGGACTCCATGTATCAACCTGATTAACTCCGAGTGATAAAAACAGCACCCAGCTCATCTTAATTCACTTTAAAGCAGAAACTGGGATTCATTCTAAAACTCAGAACACACCCATGATGAACCCATGCTCCTAAACACACAGAGGCCTTTTATAGTAAACATAGAGTTTGCCCATTTCAAGCCTGTAGCAAACTTACTACCCATCAGAATCAGAATCAGAATCAGAATCAGAATCAGAATCAGAATCAGAAAGGGGTTTACTGCCAAATGTTGAGCAGGTTTACAACATTAGGAAATTGCTGCGGTGCTTCAGTGCAAACATGGTGTCATAAATAGCACTTAAATAGACATGGAAAAAATAAAAGTAGGGATAAGAATTAAAAGTGCTACGTTGAAAGATATATACATGAGTGCAGGTGGTGATCAGTGCCAAACATGGAATGATGCAGTGACACAGCGTAGGGTCATGTGTTAGTGGCGGGGACAGTCATATGGTTATTGTTCATGTGTCCAACAGCAGAGGGGAAGAAACTGTTCTTATGGCGAGAGGTTCTGGTGCGAATGGACCGGAGCCTCCTGCCTGAGGGGAGCAGGTCAAACAGACTGTGTCCAGGGTGAGAAGGGTCAGCTGAGATCCGAGCTGCACGCCGCAGTGTCCTGGAGGTGTACAGGTCCTGCAGAGATGGGAGTCTGCAGCCAATCACCTTCTCAGCAGAGCGCACAACACGCTGCAGTCTCTGTTTGTCCCTGATAGTGGCTCCAGCGTACCACACGGTGATGGAGGAGGTGAGGATGGACTCGATGATTGCAGTGTAGAATTGCATCATCGTCCGTGTTGGCAGGTTGAATTTCTTCAGCTGCCTCAGGAAGTACATCCTCTGCTGGGCTTTCTTGATGACGGAGGTGATGGTGGGCTCCCACTTCAGGTCCTGGGTGATGGTGGTACCCAGGAAGCGGAATGAGTCCACAGAGGTGATGGGGGTGTCAGTCAGGATGATGGGGGGGAGTGGGGCTGTGTGCTTCCTGAAGTCCACAATAATCTCCACTGTCTTCTGGGCATTCAGCACCAGGTTGTTGTGGCTGCACCAGGACACCAGACGTTCAACCTCCCTCCTGTAGGCAGACTCGTCCCCGTCCGAGATGAGCCCAATAACGGTGGTGTCATCTGCAAACTTGATTAGCTTGACAGACTGGTGGGTGGAGGTGCAGCAGTTGGTGTACAGGGAGAAGAGCAGAGGAGAAAGAACACAGCCCTGAGGGGAGCCGGTGCTGATGGTCCGGGAGTCCGAGACATTCTTTCCCAGCCTCACGTGCTGCTTCCTGTCCGTCAGGAAGTCAGTGATCCACCGGCAGATGGGATCAGGCACATTCATCTGGGAAAGCTTGCCTTGGAGATGGTCTGGAAGGATGGTGTTGAAGGCAGAGCTGAAGTCCACAAACAGGATCCTGGCGTAGGTTCCTGGGGAGTCCAGATGCTGCAGGATGAAGTGTAGGGCCATGTTGATGGCGTCGTCTACAGACCTGTTGGCTCTGTATGCAAACTGCAGGGGGTCCAGGAGGGGGGCCGTGAGGGTCTTGAGATGGGAGAGAACTAGGCGCTCAAATGACTTCATGACCACAGATGTCAGAGCCACGGGTCTGTAGTCATTTAGTCCAGTGATCCTAGGTTTCTTGGGGACAGGGATTATGGTAGAGGACTTGAAGCAGGCAGGCACATGACATGCCTGCAGTGAGGAGTTGAAGATGCCAGAAAACACTGGGGCCAGCTCGTTACCTACATGTTACATGTTACCTACATATAACTTATATGGCGTTTAAATGTCCATTTCATTTAAATTTATTCACCAGTTTGATCTCGTAGAGAGGAATATGTAAGCAGTAATACCAAAAAGTTACTTAATAACAATTCTTAGTGATTCCTGTCAAGGTTTTGCACACACTGCCTATTCTTTTGGTGTTTCTGGTTTAAAAATATTTCGGAGAACAAGCATTACAGGGAGAGGACCATGTCAAAGAAAGGCTGTGGTGGCTGTACTCTCTGCAGCCCACGGATCCTCCCCTGTCTTTAAAGCCTGTGCCAGCACAGTGCAGCCTTCTCTGCCATGCCTGTGTTTCTGCTTTCCCATCCCAGCAATACTGCTCACGTTGTTATTTTCTCTGGCCCTGCCTTGTGGTCGGTGGAGCCATGTTTGTGCTGCCGAATGAAAACAGGGAAAGCTCCATCATGTGTTGCATGGTATGGCATGAAATAAAAAACTCACAAAATAATTTTACAACACAGAGGAGGAGGAGGAGATGAGAGGAGAGGGGACAGAGGAGAGGGAGAGACAGAGATGTAGTCATTTCACAAGACACTCTGGACTCATTCTCACATCATGTATCACATGCAGTATGTACCAGCTGCATATTACAACACAGTGTGTCCACTGGACGTGGGCTGAGTCCTTGCATACATGTTTTAGTGCTCAGTGTCTGTTGTTCAGGACACAGTTCCTCTGGTAGCATGATTTAGCTCTAGCTGAAAACACACACAAAGCCAGTACGTAATGACTGTAATAACACTGAAGCATTTAAAGCAGTTATATCTTGCTCTAGCTGACCTCCAGCTGTTTGACTTCTCGTTCATGCTGTACTGACTACACACTGAGCTCGGTGACAGCAGTGAAACATTTGGTTACACGCAGGTGAAAGCGAATATGAAACAGAGTTTTTCAGCTTAGTGACAAGTTACTCCTTAAAGGCAGGCTAAATGTGCTCCAGGGCTGCAGGGTAACTGCTCACTGGGGAGCTCCCCAAGGTGGCTTAATTGCAGCCAGCTGATGGCTGGAATAGCAGCAGCTAGCAACAGCTGCAACAACATGATGGAGTGTGTCAGAATGGAAGTGTTGTACTTTTTTGTTTGTCGTGAGTTTCGTGATGACAGTGGGGTAAGAAAGGAAAGGTTTCTTTCACAAGAGTTCTGCTGGCTTCAGCTGGTCTGAGGGGGGACGGCTAACCTACACATCTCCCTGGTGCACTATGTGTGGCACAGAAAGGGCAAAGTGCTGACGATGAAGCTATTCACGTACACTGATTTACTTTGAAGTAGCAAGTTGAGATAAAAATGTGTGTATTTACGTTTCATTTAGAGAAAAAATGGTGTTGTTTTTGTGCTGTCTTGAGTGCAGGGAGCCAGTTTAGCACGTATTAGCGAGCCATATTGCAGAATATGGTTTCAATCATTTAGAAATGATAACTTGCACTGATTAACTGTTAAAACCCACGTAGTGTTTGACAGAGTGGTGAGCTCCTCCCTATCTGTACTTCTGAAACACAGCTAATGACCTGTTGCCAATCATAAAAAGAGACCAAATCAATGCTCTGAGAGCTTTGATAGTTTCTAGTTCCTGGGCTGGGAAATCCCTCTATGAGTTATGACAATGATGAGCAGGTTCATGGTTTGAAAATCTCTTTAAGCCATAGGCTCGGGGCTCCTTAGCTACACAGGAAGTCTCATTTCCTCCTCGTGTTTCCACCACATCTGAGAAACTGTGAACAATATTCAAACTGATAACAGAGTGAAAAACAGCATCAATGACTGTCATATGTTTTCACACAGGAAGGAACAATGTGACAGTCAGAGTCATTGTGTCCTTATTGTGTTTGATGTGGCAGAAATGGAAAAGGAGAAAGCAGGGGTGTTATGGCCAAACCAGCAGTGATTGGCTGACTGATTTATGAGTCTTTATTTCTGCTTCTGTGTGTAACTGCATTGAATTACAGAGCAAACAGAGTTATTCTTGCTGGCTTTCATTCTCAGCTCATGTGCATATGCCCACTCTGGTTCCCACAACTCAATTATTTTCTGACTATAACTTTATATCTAAATAAATATGTATCCACGGATCGAATGGACCTGCTTTGTGTGAATACTGAGAAGTCCAGGGAATTCAGTAAAGATCCGCCCACCTAATTTCTTTTTTATTTGAAGTTATTAAAGATGTTGTACAATCATTCCACTCTGGAACAAGAACAAGAAGATCCCCAAATCCACATCCATGGTGCGTGTATATAAACGTGTGACCATAACTGTGCATGCAAAGACTTTTCTATGTAAGGAAATTCTGCACGTTCCACACACAAACATGTGCATTTAACTGCTGCAGCATTTTGCCGTGCAGTTGTTTACTTCTTATTTTTACTTCTCATAACTCAGCACCTCAGGGAAGCTCATTTACTCCTGTAACTGCTGTCTGATTGCGTCAGAAATCAAAAGTGTCGAGGAACGTTTTAGCACTGATGGCTCAGCTCACAGCTCTGTGCCGTACAGCGTGCTCGTAGAGCTAATACCTCAGCAGGTTTTGGGGGCGTGGTCATAGTTTAGGCCATAATTTAATGGTAATCTGTTCATAGGTGTGAAAGAATGTTTGCCTAATCGTTACGATAAGAAGCTTTCTTTTTGTTTTTATGTAGGTTGGGCTGGCCTGCGGTGCACTGTTCTCCTACAGAGCCATGTTGCTGTGGTCAGTATGGAGTGTAATTTTACTACTGACGACAGTGGACGCTGCAGAGGAGGAAGATGTGAGAGCAGGTACTGATGACATGCACCTTTGGATGAAAGCAGATCATAAAACTGATCTGTTAAGTCTCCTGAGTGTAATGGCTTCTCTTTAATGACTGTGTATATATCTTTATGTGCACAGGCTGCAGCACGGCTGTCAATGACCTGGTATACATCATTGATGGCTCATGGAGCGTTGGCGTCTCGGACTTTGACACTGCCAAGCAGTGGCTCATCAACATCACCAGCCAGTTTGATATCAGTTCCCACTACACACAGGTAATGCTGCATGCTGTGCATAATGAGAATGATTTGAACAACCTCCAATTTCCTTTCAGATTTACTGCAGTTTTCCTCACTCGAGTTATTTGGTGCATTACACACGACAGAGATCCACTCAGATAAGTTTTGTTGTGTCACCTGTAGGTGGCTGTGATACAATACAGTGACACACCTCGGCTGGAGATTCCTCTTGGGAAACACCAGGGAGTAGCAGAGCTCATCAAGGCCATACGGAGCATCAGCTACCTGGGAGGAAACACACAGGCAGGACCTTTTCTCCTTAAATGTCCGAATTTGCAGAAGAACATATAAAATCATGTATCGTGGGGATGTGTTTAGAATAAACAGATGCAGCAGCATCGACATGTATGTAACACATGCCGATATTTCTATTTCTTGACTTATTCGGTGACTGAATAGAAATGAGCTAACCTGAGGTGAAGGAGAAACTCACAGAGGGGTCGGCAAGTAGCTTTAGCTGCTGCAGGTTGCTTTGGTGTCAATGGGGGAAATCCAAAAAGCGCTTTGTGATTGCTGCAGTCGCCTTAGTTTGCATGGAAGATGCAAACACCTGCTTGCAAACCAGCAACACAAACAGCAGTTTGTCTCCAAACTCTTTGTTACCAACATTTTTCACTTTGAAGGGAAAGTTTCATATTTCCGATCGTGGCTCAAGAGTTGGCAGTTCGTCTTGTAACCGGAAGGTTGCCGGTTCCAGCCCCGGCTCGGACAGTCTTGGTCGTTGTGTCCTTGGGCAAGACACTTCACCTACCGCCTACTGGTGATGGCCAGAGGGGCCGATGGTGCCATATGGCAGCCTTGCCTCTGTCAGTCTGCCCCAGGACAGCTGTGGCTACAATGTAGCTGCCTCCACCAGTGTGTGAATGTGAGTGTGAATGAATAGTGGAACTGTAAAGGGCTTTGAGGTCCCTGAAAAGTGCTATATAAATGTAATCCATTATTATTATTATTATTATTTCTGTCTTGATGCATTCTCAATCATCCAGGAAAGTAAATCTCAGTCAGCTGAGACTTGGATGAGAGACGAAACGTTTCTCCCACAAAACGCTACGTCCAGATGAACAGAATCAACTTTTGGAGGTTCATATTTCTGCTTCATGTTGCACTCTTCACAGTTCCACACACCCTGAGTGTGTACTTGGCGAGTGGTTACACATCTAACATATTAACCAACCAGACAAACTTACTAGTAACAAAAGCAGTTATGTTTTTCCTGCAGTCACTGTGAAATGAGCTGCAAATAAATGTATTTGCAGCCAAATACACCAGATGACAGCCAGCAGCCCTGACAACCACCCTACCAACTGGTTGGAAATGCACACTTTTCCCTGGTTAATGACTAGTCTTTAGGCCTTCATGACTGAGGTACAGCAATTTATTTCACAGTGACTGCTAGCAACTCCCAGTACCCACTCACAACCCACTGGGGAATATTCATTTTTCCCTGTTGATTGATGGTTTCCAGGTGGACACCAGCTGTTCTGTCGGGCTATGTGACAGGGGGCATCACATTATTAATATCCCATTAAATAATCATCATAAAATACAAACATATAACTAGATAATAGATAACTGTCTACTTGCGTATCAGTTAGCACAGGGGAAATGTGATGTGCTAAAACTGTATTGTGATGAACTGTGATTCTTGTGCATTTGTATGTCCACAGTGATAATACTGTGTGACACATGTGCGTTAACTTACTTTGTGTGTTACTGAAATAACTTATTGGACCATTGCATTTCTACTGTAACTGAATCCCCTCCCTACTCAAAGCCGTCCTACTTCTTCTGTACGATCCTTACGACACGCTCAGTCAGTGCAGTTGTGAGGCAGCCGTCTCCACACACTCGACCTTTGCTTATTGCATGAGCGAAAGGGCAGGCGTTTCTCAGTGCTGCACTGTTTCCATAAGCAGTGAAGCTTTGCTGCCAATGTTATTTTGGTATTACATGTTACACGTTATCATAGCTACGCTGTGAACTTGATCAGTTTTTGTTTTTGCAAACTAATTTAGTAGTTTTAGGAAACAGAACAGAGTATCTCTGCTGTCCAGCTTGTCTGTTATGAAGTATTTTGCAAAACTATGACATAAAGAAGCTTCCCCAACATTGTGCACAGGACATGTAAGCAGAATATTAAGACTTGACATAAATAAAAGGATTAGTAATTTAGATCATTTATATGTAAATAGTAGGGGAGCAACGATACACAAAATACACGGTTCGGTTCGATACTTTGGTGTCACGGTTCGATAGTTTTTCAATACAAAAAATGTTCATGCCTTTTTAATTTGTCATTTATTAAAATTATAAATATATATTTTAACTCAAAGGTACAGTTTTTAAATTTAATGTTGCTGAAACAACAAAGTAATAAAATAAATATATCTGATTGAGGAATCACTCATCTTTGGAAAAGAGAGTTTATTACAGAGAAATGGCTCTTTCAAAATAAAAGCTCTACTATACGCTTCTTCTGGGCTATATTCTCAGCAGCATATTAAACATATCAGGTCCCCATAAGGAGAATCCTGTGCTAACGGCTGTCTAAATGACTCGGGTAAAGTTTGTAGCATGCATGGTTGTTGTTTTTGTCTGCTTCCACTTGATGATGTCAGAGTAAATGTGCAGTCATATTCGTTGTGTTCCCACTAGTGCTGTCAGCGTTTAATCTCGTTGAAATGACGTTAACGCCACAACACGGCAAATCTCCGTTAACGAGCTACCGCGGATCGCCCTGAGCGTGGGGCTGGACGGCCAACACGTTAACGAGCTAACTGCGCTAACACACTAGCTCCCACCCATGTAATTGAGCATTGCGTGGCACATCCAACATACTGTTTTACTTTAGTCCATGACGCGCTTACCTTCAGGGTCATACGTCACATGAAAACCAAAATAGTTCCAAACGCCAGATCTGAATGAGGGTGGGGGAGGTTCAATTTGCCATGTTGCAAGGAGCTTAGCTTCTGTCTTGCTAGCTTGCGCTGCGCTGACAGTGCAGCCTAGGCGGAGTAGTCGAACGCAGATCCACTGAGCTCTCAACACAGACAGCATCGTCAGAAGAAAAGTTGATAAAATAAATTAAAAATTTTGTATTGTTCGATACATATGCGTACCGAACCGAAAGCACTGTATCGAACGGTTCAATATCAATACGAATATCGTTGCACCCCTAGTAAATAGATAAGATAAGATAAGATAAGATAAGATAGAACTTTATTAATCCCTCGGGTGGGTTCCTCTGGGAAATTCGATTTCCAAAAAAGCACAGCAACGACCGAAGTTACAGAGTTACAGAATATTTATATATATATACACACACACACACACACACACACACACACACACACACACATAACACACACACACACACACACACACACACACACACACACACATATATAATACAGAGACAATATAAATAAAATATACGAAGGGGATAAATAGAATAAATAGGAATAAAAAGTAAAATATAGGAATATATATATATAGATATATATATATCTATATTCCTATATAGATATAGGAATATAAACAATTACACAGAAAAAAACTGCACAAGTTATAAGCAACACTGCTTGGTTGTAATAGCAGAGTGGAGAGGGAAGGAATGAAACTTTTGACTCCACTGGAAGCGAAGTTAAACAAAGCATATCAAAAATTATGAAACAATCGGTGGGAAAATGGGTATAGGATAAATTATTACACAGGTGGCCAGCTCCTACAAACTATTAATGTCAAAGCATAGTGAAGGAACAAAACAGACTTTACTCCTATGATGCAACCTTTAAAGCGTCACATAAAAGCAGACTGCACATTTAGGCATGTTCACTGGTGCCACTTGCCAACACTGCATCTGCAGCAGGATGACCACACAACACGGCCACAAGCACACCAATGATCACCAAACAGACTTGCACATGCATCCCTGTAAATTCTGCAGCTGTAATACTCAACTTTTGCATTTCCAAAGACCTCTGTTAATATGTCTATGCTTGACTGGGAATGGCTAGTGGTTTCATTGAGTAGTCTTTAACATGTTCACTTGGCAGATCAGTCAGGGACACAAATAACCTTTGGGGTTGTGTAAGGTCTGGTGTCTGGTGTAAAATTATTTTTTTTAATTCACTTCTTTTTGTAGACTGGCAGGGCCATCAAGTTTGCAGTGGACCACGTGTTTGCCTCCTCCCAGAGGGGCAATCTGGTCAAGAACCGCATCGCTGTGGTGGTTACAGATGGCAAATCACAGGATGATGTGGTGAGTGGTCCTTTGCCTCATGGGTAAAACCACGTCAGTGTTTTTGGGTGGCCTTTAATAACAGAGGCAACATAAAAGAAGTATCAACATGGAAAGAAACTTCGGCATAGAAAAGCCACACTGTGAGGTTTTAATACTCTAGCTAACCAGTACTTACCCCCTAACCCTAACTGTAACCGAGACCCTAGCACTTCTTCCCTAGACCTGGGAAAACAATTTAAACCAAAAGATAACCTTTTATATCTGTAGGTTGATGCCAGCATGGAGGCTCGAGCACAGAGTATTACTGTATTTGCTGTGGGAGTTGGCACTGAGATCACCACTTCAGAGCTGATCTCCATTGCCAATAAACCTTCATCTACCTATGTCCTGTATGCTGAAGATTACACCACCATCGATCGTATTCGAGACTCCATGGAGCAGAAGCTTTGTGAAGGTCAGAAAACTCAAGTGTATCTACAAAAGCACAAATTAGAGTGTTGCCAAATATCATATAGCTGAATGACCACTTGACTGAATGAATCACCCTGGTGCTTCCAGAGTCTGTTTGTCCCACACGAATCCCAGTGGCATCCCGTGATGAGAAAGGCTTCGAGCTGATGGTGGGCATGAACATTCAGACCAAGGCAAAGAAGATCCCTGGCTCTTTAGTTTCTGAGACTGCCTATGCCCTTGCTGCCTCCACAGACATTACTGAGAACACCAGGTAACATGCTATCGCTATCATTACATTCATTCTAAACAGCTTTTGGGCTTTGGTCAACAGCTATTTACATTTTTTATTCTTAATCTTTAAACTAGGGAGATTTTCCCAGAAGGCCTTCCTCCATCGTACGTGTTTGTGTCCACTCTACGTCTGAAAGGGATCTCTAGCAAGCTGTCCTTTGACCTTTGGAGGGTGCTGTCAAAGGATAAGGCGATCCAAGCTGCAGTAACACTGAGCGGAAAAGACAAAACTGTTACCTTCACCACCACCAGTACGACAGAGAAAGAGCAGAAAGCTGTCTTTAAAACAGGCTTTCAGGTTGGTGTTAGGATTGAGTGTCCATAGAGACCAATGATACCCCCTTGGCTTCAGGATAAAGCTACAACAACAAAAACAAGTACCGTATTTTTCAGACCATAAGGCGCACTGGATTAGCATTAAGCGAAACAAAACAGTCAGATAAGTCAAACTTTACTCAACTCATTCTTCTTGCTTCCTCCACTTGTACCATTGATTCATTAATGTTGAATTCTCTGGCAGCTGCTCTATTCCCATGTTGTTGCAGTATATTAATGACTAACCTCGTATTGTGGATGGATTATCTCAGTTGTTCTCCTGACTGAAGTTTGGTCCGTTTACAGCATCCTGCCATGCGATTGCATTTGTCTCTAACCATCAGGAACCCTCACGTTAACTTTTATCGAGTGGAAAAGTTCATCCTCCAGCTTCACTGTTTATGTTATGCTAACATAGCTGTGTCGCTAGCGATCACGTAGCACATCATTATATACCAGCTAGCCCAACTTCAGTAACCCTACAAACGTCACTGCTGTTTAGTTTTCTGTCTTCATTTATGTTGGAAGTGACAGCAGAGCTGTACGTTTGAATGTTTTCAGAAATCTCAGTCAGAACATGCTATATCATGCTTAGGTGGAAACTAGAGCTAACTCCCTGCTAACTTCTAACTCTGTTAAATTTAATAAATTCTGTTTTCATGGATGCCTGGATGTTAAACTTAATTGTTACACCTGGTAAAGCAGCAGCAGCAGAAAGATTTTAGACAGTTTTTAACAGCCAGTGATGCCGCAGTGATCATTTGACTTTGGGACCTGAAGATAACAGAGTTTAGGACCTAGATTACTCCGCGGTAGCCGTAATCCATCAAGCGGTGAGGCTAGTTTACCAAACTCCTACTAAAACATTTGACAGATTTTTGAGCGCTGTGTACCACATGAAATCGGTTCGTTGGTAAGCACAACCAGAATTCATACATAAGGCGCACCGGACTATAAGGCGCACTGTCGATTTTTGAGAAAATTCAAGGATTTTAAGTGTGCCTTATAGTGCGGAAAATACGGTACAGTTTTATTCTTTATGTTTTGATTTTAGAGATGCAAACTCAACCAGTTTCTCTAACCATACCGAAGCTAAAAATAAACCATAGGGTTTTATGTAAAAGAAGACTAACAGCTATAGTCTTGTACTGTTCATCTGGCCACTGAGTTTGACAGATTGAATAAAAAGAATAGCTTTTCCATGTTGCATATACAGTGAATATTTTAAAGTAGTAGTTTACCTTGATTTGGTTCAGAAAAAGTAAAAGTAAATCAGTACCTCAGTACATAAAACGTAATAAAACAACACTTATTGCAATAACAGTGTCTCCACTCTGCTCTCTAGAAGTAAAACATTTGTTGATGCTGCTTTAATAAGTGTGGCTAAAGCAGCAAATACTAGAATTGGTAAATAAATAAATAAATATATATATATATATATATATATATAGCGTAGTGGTTAGACTACACGCCTTTGGAGCAGAGGATCGCAAGTTCGATTCCTGCCTGGGGCGTCTGTATCCAGTAAGGGTCCTAAGGCTAGACCCCCTATGCTAAGCGAGCCTACCGCAGACATGAGCGAGACAGATAAATATGAAGGCATGCCGGCTCGGACGTCGCCCGGATCAACAAGGTCCGCGTCAGGTGTTGAGGAACCAGGGCACCCTGACGAAAAGTGGGCTACTGGAACAAGAAGGCATCGGTGGGCAAGAGACGAAAACAGGGCGTTGTTGGAATGCTACTACGCAAGTAACCCCGGCGGAAGGGGCTACATGAATAGGATGACGGACCTATGGATTCTTCGATACCCAACATCCACAATGACGGCGAAACAACTAGTAGCTCAGTGTTCGCAAATGGGAACCATGAAGAGGCCGCTAGAAAGGCTGCAACCACCAAGTACCTGCAGAGGGTCAGGCAAGTCCTGAGGAGTCAGCTGAATGGTAAGAACAAGATCCGGGCCATCAACACGTACGCCCTGCCCGTGATCAGGTACCCTGCTGGGGTAATAGGCTGGCCAAAGGAGGAGATAGAAGCCACTGACATAAAGACAAGAAAGCTCCTTACCATGCATGGAGGGTTTCACCCCAAGTCCAGCACCCTGAGGCTGTACGCTAAGCGGAAGGAAGGGGGCCGGGGACTGGTGAGTGTCAGCACCACAGTCCAGGATGAGACAACGAACATCCAAGAATACATTGGGAAGATGGCCCCAACTGACCGAGTGCTCAGTGAATACCTCAGGCAGCAGAAACCCAAGAAAGAGGAGGGAGACGAGGAACCATCATGGAAGGACAGGCCCCTGCACGGTATGTACCACCGGCAGATAGAGGAGGTGGCTGATATCCAGAAATCCTACCAGTGGCTGGACAAAGCTGGACTGAAAGACAGCACAGAGGCACTAATCATGGCAGCACAAGAACAAGCTCTGAGTACAAGATCCATAGAGGCTGGGGTCTATCACACCAGGCAAGACCCCAGGTGCAGGCTGTGTAAAGATGCCCCAGAGACAATCCAGCACATAACAGCAGGGTGCAAGATGCTAGCAGGCAAGGCATACATGGAACGCCACAACCAAGTGGCCGGCATAGTGTACAGGAACATCTGTGCCGAGTATAACCTGGAAGTCCCGAGGTCAAAATGGGAGATGCCCCCAAGGGTGGTGGAGAATGACCGAGCTAAGATCCTGTGGGACTTCCAGATACAGCTATCGGCTGATT